TGCTTAACATTTTAAGAACCTGCCAAACTGTTTTGCAAAGTGACTGATCCATTTTACACTCCTACCAGAAGTTTCAGACCATTCTAGTTCATCACATCCCACCCAACACTTCCTACTGTCTGTCTATTAATTATGGTTGTTCTAATGGTTGTTTGGTAATACCTTATTATGGTGTTAAATAGGACTTTTTTTCAGGTCTTCTCACAGCTGCTAATATAATAATGTGCTCTGTGAATTGCCAAGAGAATGGTAAATAAAGTATGCAATATTTCCCTAATTTATTTGCTCCTGGAATCCTTTTTTCTTTTAACTCAGTGTATTCAAGGTCTAGTGTTGGGCAGAGCAGATTTTGGGCTGCATTATATCATTTGATTATAGTATTTTCACTGTGTTCACGATGATATTTAGTTATGAAAAAGTGTTTACAGCACCATGACTCTGAATCAAGCAGCATAGATGCAGAAGTTAATAGATTGGAAGTTAAAGGAAAACACTTAAAAGATTAGCAGGAGGACATTTTTGAGAAGCAACAGTTTTCATGAGAAAGTAAATGTCAGTTTGTTCTTCTCTGCACTTGGTTCCCCAGCTCTGCCCAGATGGGCCCCAAATCTCACGGGGAGTGAAGCAGAGCTCAAGCTGAGATCCTGGCTACACTTTAATTGCCAGTACTGAGATGATAATCATAATCATGGCGATACGAATAAAATCAAATAAATTCATATTGATCATATCTGTGCCTGCTGGGTACGGTGCTGATTATCTCACTGAATCCTCATGAAGTCTCTAAGGCATGGAAACTGTTACTACAGTATATCCGTCTTATAGATGGGGAAATTGAGGCACAGAGTGGTTAATAGCTTGCACATAGTAATAAGAAGTGGCAGGATCAGTGTTTGAGCCTGGAGCCCTCTGATACCAAGGTCTTTTTTACATAGCCCCACCAACCCAAGGTCAATCTGAAAAAATATATTTTTGTGTCTTATTTATGCAGAGATTATAAGGTTCTGAGAAGATTTCCGGTTCAGAATTCGGCTTCTTGGAGTAATAATGATTATTTTGGTCACCCTGGTTACCTCCTTGTCAGCTGATAGGGCGTGTCCTTCTTGCTCCTCATGCGTCTGTCCTTCTAGTCCCATGCTCTCCAGCCTGCAGTGCCATCTCTGTTGTCCACTTCTTGCGGCCCTTTTCTACGATTGGACGTCCCCGCTTCTGCTACGCTGCTGTCTCAGCAGATCTCTGTGAGGAGCGGTACCTCACTCCTCTAAAATTCCCTGAGGGTCACTGGTATAACTTTGTCAGCCACAGTCTTGGTTCCTTAAACGTGGGATAATAATGGTCCTGCCTCATAGATTGTTGTGCAGATTTAAAAGAGGTAAAACACATGATAAACTTAGCCTAGAACGTGGCACAAAGACACAAGGCAAATGCAGTGCTTGATAGATGAAAGATGAGAAATTGTTAATAATTCAGACTGTGAATTTATTACTACGTGATATTCTGTGTAGTTTTAATCTGACTTTCTCATGAGAGGTAGACTCTTGAGGATGGAGAGCAAGCCATATGATATTTACTATAATGCCTTAAACACCAAAAATCCTCGGAAGTATTTGATGAGGGTATGCAAAGAACCTGAACCTATGTGTTGGAAGGCCCGTAGGGAGCTTAGCTCAGGTGGCAACTCAGCATGTGACCTTGCCGTACTTACTTGTAGTCTTGGTCTCTATAGCAGTCAGGAAATTCTGTTTGCACACGTCTCCAGGTCCAAGGCCTGGTACTGACTTTGCGTCAATTTGGACACGTCCACCTCTCCTCCTGCCCCCAATTTCTTTGTCTGTGAGATGGAGAAAATAACTTTATGAGAATGAATGAAGCAAGCTTGTAAGGTGTTTCCCTTAGTGCTTAGTTAATATGGTAGTTGCTCTTGTGGTTGCCTTATCAGTGTTGTGTAGTTGATAAATCCTAGGCTTGTTTGATGTGTTCATTTCCTGGGACCTCTGTTATCAAATGCTACAAATTCTGTGGCTCAAAAAGCAAAATTCTGTTTTTTCATAGGTCTGGAGTCTAAAAGTCCATATTCAAGGTGTTAGCAGGTTAATTCGTTCTGAGAACTGTGAGGGAAAATCTATTCCAGGCCTATCTTCCAGCTGCTGATCACCTTAAACCTTCCTTGGCTTGTCGATGACATTCTCCTGGGGTGTCTCTATCATTCTCCCTCTATACCCGCATTTCCCCTTTGTAGAAGGATACAGTCAAACTGTATTAGTGACCACCACAATAACTTTGCTGTAACTGGATGACCTCATAAAGATCCCATTTCCTGGTAAACCTCGTTCTGAGGTCCTGGGGCTAAGGACACCTCTTTGGAGGGACCCACTTTAACCCATAGCATTGCAAATGATTAATCCTTGCATTTCTCTACAAAATGCTCTGCTGAAAAAATAACTTGGTATTTCTCAACAAAATAAAAAAAATAAAAATACTTGACAGTGATGCCCCTTTACTCCACTGCACTTGACATTCATGGCAGTTCATTTAACTGGATCAGTCAAGTGGGATTAGTTCTGACAAAGATCAGCTTCTTTTCACAGAGCAAATCCCAGAAACTTTGCCCAAAGTGGTATTTCCCACATGTACTTTGGGAATTGCAAATCTATCATTTCTGGCTCATGACATTTTTGCAGGGCCTCCAGAATGGAAATAATGGAGCAGATCGCAGGCAGTTGGCATTCATTCTCCATTTTTTTTTTTTTTTTTTTTTTTTTTTTTTTTGGTTTTTCTCCAGTACCGGGAACCTTTTTTTTTTTTTTTTTTTTTTTTTTTTGTGGCACTGAAAACTCTCATGCTGTTCACATGTGATTTATATTCCTCCTGTGGTCCCTAAATGCATGTAATAAAAACAGATTTAGAATATTAATCTGACATAGTTCAAGCCAGCATGGTCTCATATAAATTTATTTACTAAGGATGATAAAGAATCAGAAAGAGTAGAATGAAAATTATTCTTAGCAAATATTTCTTGCTGGCTCCTACAGTGCTGGTTCTCAAAGTGCAGTTCCTTGGAGTCCCTGTGGTGTTTATGGAAGATGCATATTTCAGGCCCTACTCCCACTCTGTAGGAGCAACATCTTTGTGGAAGGGGTCCTGGATTTGCATTTCTTATGTGTCCCATACCCCAAGAGGTTCTGATCCCCACTTTGTTGGAGAATGACTACCGTCTGGTACCTTCTCAGAAGAAAAACATTATATGGTGGGGGTTAGATGATTCCCAGAGCTGGCATCTATTCAAGGCGGAGGGTGAGGAGAGCCAGGTAACAGGTGCAGGGCAGAGGGTCCAGCAGCCTTGGCAAGGACAAATGTGTCCAGTCCATTGTGAGGTGACATATGCTGAGCATGGGGAAAAGGACAGTGGCTTTTAGGTGCACCAGAGACCCCTGCAAGGGTTGCTGGCAAATGTATGTGTTGGCAGGTGGGTGGAGCTGAGGAGCGGGGTTCTGTTCATTCCTGTCAGAACCCTGGCACCTGGGTACAGTTAAGGTGGAGTAGGGGGCAGGGAGAAGCCAGGTCTGTACCCTAGAGGTGCTACTCAGAGAGGGAGGTGAAACCTCAAGGCCACTTGGGAAGTGGTGTATAAACTCAGACTTCTGAACTCCAGCCAGCCCTTCTGTGAGCTTTGGGAATCTGTGTTGCTAAAGCTCCCAGGTGACAGAAGATGACAATCCCTCAGGACAGCATTTGGGAAGTGCAGTGCCTAGAAAGAACTGGCTTTAGGACTAATAGACCAGTGGACCTTGCAATAAATCCTGCTGCATAGGATATATTTCTTGATTGCATTGCTAATCCATTCCAAATCACAGACTGTGTGGACACACATTCTTTTTCCTTTCTTCTTTTCTTTTTTCCTCTCCCTTCCTCTCCTTTCTTTTCCCTTCTTTCTTTCCTGTCTTTTCTGCTCCTCCCCTCCCCTCCCCTTCCCTTCCCTTCCCTTTCCTCCCTTGTCTTTCTTTTTCTGAAACTTATGGAGAAGGAATGTGACACATTTAGCATACTTTCTGGAACATAGCAGGCATCATGAAAGGATGGCTTCAATCCTTGTGAGCTCTGAGATTCTAGGAAGATAATTAGGGCAGAGCACTGATCTGTTGGGTAAGATTGTTGATAATTAGGGCAGAGCACTGATTGTTGGTAAGATTCAACAGTGGGAATGAATGATTACAACTGGAATATAGGACAGGGCCTTGGCCCTTGACCATACTGTCTGCTGGTTTCCAGAGCTGAGGGAAAAAACAACTACAACATTTTTGTATATCACCTTGTGAGTTGAATACTCTTGTCTTCTCCATCTTACAGATGAGAAAATCGAGGCTTGGAAGGACATGGACATGGGCATCTGGGCATTATGCAGCAGAATCAAATTTCAGACCCAAGCAGTTTGGTTCTGGGTTTTTAACCCCATGTATTTGCCAGTTTAAGCCAAGTGCAGTACAAAGTCAGAGTAGCCTTTGAACCACAGTGCTGAGTCTCAAAAGCAAGTAGGCTTCAGGAACCACTGTCCTGAATATTTCTTTGCTGTACATTTCTAGATATCAAATTATACAGCCACTTCCTAATAAAGTTAGAAAGGCTGGCATTCTCATAATAGAAATTGAATATAATAAACTTCCACAGTAAGGCTTGATTAAGTTCTAGGGAGAAATCTGTGCCGCTAAATTTTTTTCCTTCAAAAATCCCTTGACCACTTTATGTTTCATTCATGCATATGATTCGACCCCTCTTCTGGGTCAATCACAGCTCAGAGGCCCTCTCTGACCGTAGTTCCTCCTCCTTCTCATGTCAGTCTCCTTCAACGCCCACTCACCTGCCAGAAATTTGAATGTCTAATCAAGATTTCCTCCACCTTACGCATGAAGCAATGGTGTTGCTAAATATGTTGGTTTAGTTCTGAAGTGTTTTGTCAGAATTCCAGCATTCAGTAACATTCTCCCCTTTTCCTCTACTTTCAGGCATAACCTTCAGTAGCAGAACAACTCAGTCCAGAAAGCAAGCTGCCAAGTCTGCTTGTGCCTTGTCACAGAGAGCAGCTGGACCCATTTTTAATCAGTGCTTCCTAACTCAACATCTCTGAGTCACTGAAGGAGACCAGACAGTCTGGAGTTTGCAAATTTCCAGAGACTTCTATAGACACTGAATGCAAAAGGAAAGGATACCCAGGTTGTCTTTGCATAAATCTGGTTGATTTAAGAAAAAAAAAAAAGGGAGAAAGCGGGTGTGACTTCACTCAGGAAGTCACATGAACGTATTCTACCTTGAGACCATATAATGGATGATGGTTATCGGAACAGCCCAAACCTCTACCACGGAGCAAGGGATATAGCTCGAGAGGTGACCAGGCAGTCCCGGAACCAAGGAATGGATGACTACAAGTATCAGGACAACTATGAGGGCTATGCCCCCAGTGATGGCTATTACCGGGGCAATGAGTCCAACCCAGAAGAAGATGCACAGAGTGATGTTACAGAAGGCCATGATGAGGAGGATGAGATTTATGAGGGCGAGTACCAGGGCATCCCCCATCCAGATGATGTCAAAACCAAACAGACCAAGATGGCGCCCTCCAGGGCGGATGGCCTTCGGGGCCAGGCAGACCTGATGGCCGAGAGGATGGAAGATGAGGAGCAGTTGGCCCACCAGTATGAGACCATCATTGATGAGTGTGGCCATGGGCGCTTCCAGTGGATTCTCTTCTTTGTCTTGGGTTTGGCCCTGATGGCTGATGGAGTGGAGGTGTTCGTGGTGAGTTTTGCCCTGCCAAGTGCAGAGAAGGACATGTGTCTGTCCAGTTCCAAGAAAGGAATGCTTGGTAAGTGGAAATTCTCAAAGTTCATTCTCCGTTAAAAATATGAAAGGGTAGGAGAAATATAAATAATATAAATATATATATATATATAGTCTTTCACTGTTAGACACCTACAATATACCATGGTGTTTGTATTTTTGTTACTGACACATCAATAAATGGGCTCAAGTTTACATGGTGAGTAAGCACAAGAGCTTTGTTTTCTACCAGGTCTGTTGGGTTCTTGAACTCTTAGTTCATTTTCCAAATCTTGTTGCATTCTTGAGAGTCAGATTTCTGTCTTCACATTAAACTGTCTGCCATTTCTAAAGACAAATACATTTTGGGAGTGGAAAACCAGAAGTCTCTTCCATTCAGTCCTTTCTTCTGTGTGTTTCCAGAATCCAGTGGCATCTGTTCCTGGCTTCCCTTGTATCTGAGTGTTGGTGGCTGTGAGCCATGTGAGTTGGGGATGAGTGATGGGCTGGAGCCACCAGGGAGCTCCCACAGGCTGTTGAGAACCTTACTGTGAAGCACAGATGGATTCTGCAGGATAGAGGACCAGCTTTGCAAGTCAATTATGAGACTAGCACTATCAGAGCCAAGCCTCCAATACAAGGGCTTAAGGCAGAGAGGACTGGGTGAAATTAGAAAGATGAGCACAAATTATGTGTTGTAGAAGAAATTTGGTGTAATATAGACACAGGGTTTATCTTAATCACCAAATATTCTGAAAAACACTACTTCTCTAAGTTTAGAGTCAATGCAAGTTAGAGTTCAGCAAACATGAAGTTATTGATAGATATCTATGGATCAGGTTCTCACCGTGACCAAGAATACTTCTGGCCCTTAAGCGCTCAAAATCTGTCAAGGAACTTAACTCATTCATTCATCAAATGGATACTTACTTCTTGTCTACACTGTGCTCAAGCCCTAGGAAGAAAATAACCCTTGTCTCTCAAAGAATTTATAGCAGGACCAGCAGGTATTCACAAACACAGATAATTATTTAATTACTGTGGGGATAAGCAGTGTGAAATACCTTGTGGGATTCTTAGGCTCAGTATTTGTTTAGACCAGGAGTTGGCAAACATTTCTGTAAAGGTTTGTGTAGTAAATATTTCAGATTTTGCAGGCCCAGCTACTCAAGTCTGCCTCGGTAGCCCAGTGCAGCCACAGACAGTACGTAAGAAGTGCGTGTGACTGCATTCCAGTAAAGCTTTGTTTACAAAAACAAAGCCTGTGAGGTGTAGTTTTCCAGCCTCTGATTTAGACCACTATAAATAAGATTGGGATATGAATTTTCCCTAGGGGATTTAAAAATTGTTTTTATACATTCATGATTAGCTAAAGGACCATTTAAAGCAATTAGGTCCATGTTAGATATGCCCAAAAGAGACTGAAAAGATACAGAAGAGATGACTTGAGAACTTGAGAAGCAAGGATATAAGCTAGAGGGCTTTTTAATTATTCTTTTAGTATTATTACTGTCATTACTTTATTATTTTGGTGCTCGGGTTGAACCCACTGAGCAACAACCCCAATTCTTTTTATATTTTTTATTTTGAGGATGGGGCTCCCTAAATTGCTAAGTTATCCCGGCTGGGCTCAAACTTGTGAGCCTCCTGCTTCAGCTTCCCAGAATGCTGGGATTACAGCTTGTACCCTGATACTTAACCTTAACTTCAGTTTTTTAAACACTAGAGAATGCATACTACCTGCCAGTCAGCTTCAAAGTTGAATAGTAGATTTTTTTTGAAAGGGACAAACAAATCTTTAAAACTAAACCAAAATTGTCCCTAATTGATGCTGTAAGCATTTCTAAGATATTAATTTGTTTTATAGCATTCCCGACTGAAACTTGGGTCTCATTTAGTCCAAACTGGCAGTGTCAGTAATGATTTTATGCCCTGCTGGTCTCTGGCATCACAGTGCCTGGCAACCTCATTAACAGAACTGCAGTATGTTTGCAGCTTCTGCCAGCTCCCCGGGTGAGTGCTTGGAGTCGAGGGAATGTGGTCCTCACCTAGAGAGCCCACCTTGTGTGCAATTTTGTCCTCGGGGTTTACTAAGAAGATGCTATGACTCAGCTCGAGAATGGCAGACAGACTTCTGGAGCAGAGACAAACGTCCTGTGTACATACAGCACCCCTATGTGGTCAAGAAGACATGTGTTTAAGTGCATCCAAGAAGGTGGATGATTTGAGGGACTCTGAGGCCAGAATTCCTGTGTTATCACACATAACCTTCAGAGTCATCTTGGGGGTAGAAAAGTGGGGAAATAGAGCATAGAGCGTTGTCTAGGGTCACAGATAGGAAGTGTCAAGCAGGGGCACGATCCCAGGTCTGTCTGATTTCAAAGTCTGTGTTCCTTCCGCTGCACCACATACCCTTTCTCTCATGCATGGTCGGTGGAAAAGAGGTCCTATGTTCAGGCTTTTCCTGTGTCATCAAGCAGATGGCTGGGACACCACAGATTGCTTGCAGCATGAAGGGAGTGTGGCCCGGAGAGTAATAGTTTGGGCACTGGAGTTTGACCACTGGGGTTTGGTAACTGGCTAAGTCAGTTTTCAGCCAGTGACCTTGGTCAAGTTACAATGTCTGTAATTTTCAATTTTCCCATGTGTGGAATAAGGAGGGGGCAATGGTGCATTTGCTATGAGGAAAGAATGAAGGAAAGAACCACGATTCCTTAAAGCAAGCAGGACTCAGTGCTTTCTGGCTGCTCTGCAGCTCTTTTTACTTGTTATCATAGCATTCCCCCTCTAGCATTTGCAGAGAATTCTTGATGCAGAAAGGCAAGGGGTCAATATGGATGCTGGAGCCAAGTAGCTCAGTGGGATCCTTGCTCTGCCAGTTCCTAGAAGGGCGACTTCAAGAAAGTTCTCGGCTTCTCTGTGTCATAGTTTCTTTATCTATAATAGGGGGCCGATGATGACATGTTTCATGGGGATATGTGAGGATTTAGAGATTTAGTGTACCTAAATGACTAAAACAATACCGGTGCATCATAGGTGCTTAAGGTATCTCATTTAGCATTATGGTGATCGAAGCAGTTATCATGATTAACCCGATCGCTTGGTAATGGTGAGACACCCAAATTCAGACCGGATTTTGTCTGATCTCATTGGATATCTTCAGGCCAGTATTGTGTTTTAGTTTTTAAGGTCAAGCTACTTGATCTTAGCTGGTGAAAAGGCCCTTTCTGCAGTGCTAACCCAGTTCTTTCTTCCCTTCCTTTCTTCTTATTTTAAAAAGACACTCTGAACTGATGTCCCTGGGCTTGATTTCATGTTGTCAACGATGCAGGAAAAAGACAATAAAAGGATTCCTCATCCCAAATTCAGGCCTCAGTTCATAGGATATTTTGTTTTCTTTCTGGAAAGCAATGAATCATTTCAGAAAATGAAAGATGTGTCCCATAGCCAGATAACAAAGATACCCGGCTGTGTTGGGCCACTTTTCTGAGCTTTTGGAAAATTATTTGTCTTGTGTGGTATGTTTTAGTGGATCCCTTGTCTATAACTGCCTCATTCAGGGCAAAAGAAAGTCTATGAGCTGGTTTTTAGCATGGAAGGCTTGGCCCTGCTTAGTGTCTGGTGCTGGTTCTCTTCAAGAGAGGGAGAATGTGTTCACCTATTAAATTAGACTCTTCCTTCTTTCTTTAATAAAATTATTGTTGAACATAACCATGGACCTGGTGGACCTGTTGTCTATAGTAATTCAAAGACCAATTAAGTCCCAGCATTCAGGGGGTTTTATTCTGAGGGCAGAAAGAGACACAAGAAATATAAAATACAAAACTGCACAATTGAGTTGTGCAGTGCAACATTCGATCTTAGCACTTTTGTTCAGATAGGAAAGAGACAAAGACAGTGTAAGTGATAGAGTCTGCTGAAGGGCAGTTTTAGAGTTAGATGCCTTATTCTGCCATTGGGTCTACTGCTGAGTGTTTGGGCATGACCTTCGCCTGACCTGAAGTCTTTTTTGTGAAACATTGTGATTTTAGGTGGTTGATGAATGCTTTCACATTTCTTTTAGCCTCCTTTCAGGTTATACCTTATGCATTTTCTGAATGTTTGTTAAAAAAAAAAAACCAAAGAAATGATCTTAAAGGTAGGGATGCTTGGCATGATAAACCGTTTGGTTCTTTCAGATGACACTGATTTAGTGGTAACTCAGAGGTTTGTTTCCTTCAGCTAGGATGACAATATAGATGACACTTAAGACAAATCAACAGCCTCTTCCTCTGCTTCCACTTGATAAATTGGCACTAAAGTGTTTTCATAATTACAGAAATACTTCTTACCCTGTAGCTATGGTGTATTCCCCATCTGATCACAAAAGAGCCCTGTGTTCAGGCAAGAGTTCCATACTTTCCTACAGAGATTTGATTTCCTGGAAGGGCCTTGTCCCTTGGTGTGTATTTTATTGGCTGTTAGTTTTTCTTAACCATCTGTAGTGCAAATACTCAGGGAGTCCTACATGTCAGGCCATGATTTGGAGCTTGGCACTTGGGGCCTGTGCCAGCTCTGGGGAGTTTAGAGAGCAGTGTCAGATGAGGTGAATTTATTAGTGTAAATTGTGAGTTGGGTTTTAATAGCATCTCAGAGATGGATGTATGACTCTGTTGTCATGAAAGATTATCTTTTAATTGTTTTGTATGCAAATTCTAGCTGAGCTGCAGCACAGACTATTTGATTTATGAGCCACTTTTCCATAGTCCTGGATTCACCATGTCAGTTGAAGAAAAGAGAGGGCACTGTATGTCCCAAGGCTTGGCACAAAGTATGTGCTCAGTAAATATGTACTCATAATGGAGAAATCCACTGCTAGGAATTTTCATATGTTTCTTTTTGCATTTGATTTATTTCAGCTGTTCTTACTTATCTTTTAGATTGCAGAATACTTTAGAACAGAATGAAAGCTAAAGGATCCCTTACTTACTGCCATAGATAAGAGGATGGACTTAATTCCATAGGCAATGGAGACCTGTTGAGTGGGAGTTGTTAAATGTTTTTAAG